TCTGTCTGTCTATCCTCTATCTATCTATCTATCTATCTATCTATCTATCATCTATCTATTTATTTTTGTGACACAGTCTCTCACCAAGCTGAAGCTCACTAAGTGGACTGGGGTGGCTTACCTTTCAACTGTGGGGACCCACCTGCTTTTGTCTCCTTAGCACTAGGACTGTGAGCACACACATGCACAGCCATACCTAGCATTCTTTTTTATTTTATTTTTTTAATGTACCATCTAGGATTTAATTTAGGTTTTCAGACTTGTGCAGCTTTGTTTCCAACCCAGTTTGTTGTTGTTGTTGTTTGTTCTTAAAAAACAAAACAAAACAAACAAACAAAAACCAGTGTCTCACTATACAGCCCAGGCTAGTCTTGAACTTGTAATCCTCTTGCTTTGGTTTACTAAATGCTTGGATTATTACGGGTATGTGCCAGGGTGGTACCTGACCAGAGTGACTTATCCTAAACTGGAAGAGTAGTTAGTTAGTTTAGAGTTTACTAGAAGTTTGGCATGGTATAGTTACTGTAGGCACAGAACAAAACAAAAGCCCCTGTTCCTATAAGGAGATTAACTCAGCAGGGACAGTGGATTACAAGGGGCTGGTATCTGTTTCAGACGGTGACCAGTATTAGCAGAGAAAGTGGTCCCTGAGGAAAAAGCAGCATTCAGGAGGGCGAGCAGGCATGGTTTCGAGCAGTGCACAGGCCTGTTGGACCTGGGAGGAGCTACAGGCAATGAGATGAGCAGGTACATAGGTGAGACCCAGCTGACAGGTGACGTTCTAAACAGAATGGAGGTGAAACAAACAGTCTTTAAACAATCAGGTTAGAATTATGATCTTATCTATGGATGTGTGTTCGGCCTTGTGAGTGAATGCTATGTGTGTGCAGGTGGCGCCTGCAGAGGCCCGAAGAGGGCATCAGATCCCTGGAGCTGGACTCAAAGGTGGTTGTGAGGCCTTCCAAACCCTGTAGGTGCAAGGAAGAAACTTGGGTCATCCACAAGGACAGAACACACTCTTAACCACTGAGCCATCTCTCCAGACCCCAAGATACAACCTATTATTCATTTAATCTCAAAAATTATTTTGTGATGTTAGTAATCGAACCCAGACCTCTGCACAAAAATATATTTTGCAAGAAAGAGACTAATGAAGGGAAAAATAATTAACCTATAGAGTTAACCCAAGAGATTCACAACAGCAAACGACCTGCTGCTTGACTGATACTGTAGAGAGAGTCCCTCAAGATCTTCATTCAAATCAATTGAAACGTAATGAATAAATATTGTCCTGACTCCACAGAGGGGCGAAATGTAAGCAACATTGGTCCAGGGAGCTTGTTCGGAGGTCTGCAGGCAGGGCTTGTGTTTCAGTTAACATCCTAGACATGAACACTTAGAAGCTAGGAAGTGAGTAGCTTTGCCCATGGCTTGCAGCCCCAGCACAAGTGAGACATGTTCATGCTGGGATGTGGGTAGAGACATGTTGCTGTCACCAGGTCCAAAAGTAGAGGAAACTGTCCAGTTGGGGCGCCCTCAGGTATAATGTGGTTCCCTCTCTGTGTTCTAGGTGGTCTGAAGCTGAATCTCCCAGGCACAGTAGAACATCTCTTCCCTTTTTTTTTTCATTTTGTTACCATGATTGCAATTCTCCCTTGCACAATTTCCCCCCCACAGAGGTATGACATTAATATAAAGAACAAATGCCACCACACCAGTGCTCACGGGGGATTCCAGAGGGGACTGGATCCCAAGTGCACACACAGGACCCAAGATAAGAAGAGAGGTAGCTTTCCCCAGTTTATCTGAGCATGTCTGGGGCTGTTTGTAGATTTATTATTATTATTTTTAAATTTAATTTTTTATTAATTTATTTACACTCCAGATTTTATTCCCCGCTCCCCAGTCCACCCTCCGACTGTTCCACACCCATACCTCCTCCCTACCCCCATCTCCATGAAGATGTCCCCACCCCCTGTTTGTAGATTCTAAATGCCAGAATGGTAACCTTGGCATTGGCATCCAGTGAGGTTTCAACCCAAATGTGCATATATGAGTGTGCATGTGACTATTCAATACATGTGGGAGAGCACATACACACAGGTGTGCACAGGCGACATGAACTTCAGGCATGGTTTCTCAGGAGACAGCCACCTCATCTTTTGAGGCTGGAACCTAAAGCTTGGTGATGAAGGTAGCCTAGCTGGGCAGTGAGCTCCAGGGACCAGCCCATCTCTGCCTCTCTAGTGTTAGGATTATAAGTATGTGCCACCATAACCTGATTTTTACATGGGTTCAGGGATGGAACTTATATAGCAAGAACATGATTAACTTGACTTGCTCCCGAATAGTTACATGTTAAAATTCCGTGAATCTTCTTGAGCTGGGAACTTAGTCAGCAAGGAAGCCGTTTCTGCTGGCGGATACACAGAGCCTCCAGTCCCTTCAGCTCACTCAGTCCCTTGGCAGCATACCTAAGGTCCTCCCATTCTCTTCAAATGTGTAACTCTGGCCAATGTCTGTAGTGCCGTGGACAGACTCACTCTCTTTGTAGGCAGTATGATCAAAGTGTGTCTGGAAGGACTAGCCAAATACAGTCAGACCGTGGTTCAAATCACAGTAGATTATGTTCTTATTACTTTCTTCTAAAGCTTCCTAATCACTGAAACTGAATTTTTCTTTTTCTGTTTTTTTCTTTCTTTATTTATTTCTTTTCTTTTTTTTTAATGATATCTAGTCTTCTGGGTTATCTAAGGAGGAAAAAATTGACAACTTAGTGACTCTGGGCCCATGTGACTATGTGGTAACAATTAGCTGTGATTGGCAGCATTTGCCTCTCTTGAGACTAGCCAAGGATTTCCAGTCTCCTTTCTCCCAGTGGGTTACCTACCAGGCCACTGGCCTTTCCATCCTTTGCACTCCAACACACTCACCACCACTGAACAGAAACTTCATCTTCAGACCCTGCTTTGAAGACAGAGTTGGTAAATCTTTCATTTAATGTCAGCTTGCCCTCTAGAGGAGAAGGCAACATTCTTGGTGCCTCAGTTTTGTTCCCACTGTTGCAGGAGGCCAGGTAAGGATCTGTTATTTGCAGGAGAGCTTGGGGCAAAGGTAGAAAACCCAGGTGATAAAATCCAGTTTGGCTAACAGCCATGCTCCTGCCCAGGAGAGGACTAAGAGGCAGGTAGCAGCAAGTACTAACTAGATTCTAACTGGCTCTGCTACTTGCTGCCAAAGCCAGTTTTCCTGGGGCCATCTCCCTTTCGTCCTGGGTTGGAACAGCTGTTCTAAAGATGGTGACCTACCTGGCTGTTCTTACACACTTTGGCTCCTGGAGTCCCCTCCCTCATGGCTGTACAAGGCCAGCTGTCAGAACCTTGACAGAGAATCACGACTGCTCCCTAGTGTTTCACACCCCAGCTTCCCCAGCTTGGGTAATACCTGACTTCTGTCTCTTATTTTCTACCCCTGGATTCAGTGTAGAAAGGATGGCATTTCAGAACTGCTGTCTCAGCCTCTGGAGTTTAGTTCTCTTCCATAAAATGGAAAGTAGCCACCCTATAGTTAGGCAAGGGACTGGCCATGAGAACAGGGACCTGGAATTCTTTCTTGCATTTGTTCTTGCTCCCCTCCCAACCTCCCCCAAAACCACTCCTCTCTGATGTCTTAAGGCTATTTTGGACTGGAATGAAGAATTGCCTTTATCGAAGAAGGTTCCAGATGCCAACACAAAACTCTAAGCATAGCTAAGCTCCTGACCTGACAAGACTTTTTATTGGGCTTGTTTTGCCCCTTTGATTTTGAGTAGGATCCATTGGGCTGGACTCTGAGATGCTGCCCTGCTGTGTGTTGCAGTCAAGTTTGAAGAATGCAGATCTGGGACTTCATTTGCTGTGATCTGTAAGGCCCCAGATATTTGGTTCCTGAGCCTAGAAACAATAAGAACTAGGTGTATGATGTATGATAGCTCTTCCGAGAGAAGGACGTGTCCAGCGTGTGGACTCGGAACCGTCACGGCCTCCCTTAGAAGCTCCGTGATCTCTTCTGTGAAATAGTACTTTGGTACTGACGCTGGTACGCACCTCGGCTCAGTGCTGGGCATAATCGGTACTCGTTGGCCGCTACTAACCTATCCGAGTCTGAAACTTATGAAAGGACAGACAGAAAAGCTGGCTCACTTAGAGGTAGCTGGAAATGCTATAAAAAGCTACGTGAGAGGAAGCTTGTGTGCTTCAGTTCCTTCAAGAGCCTTTCCTGGCCCAAATCCTATTTGTTCATCGTGCTGAGTACATTCTTGACAGCCTTCCTCTGGACCTCCAGTGTTGATCTCAGGAGAAATGGTTCCCCGGGGCTTCTGACAAGGGGATGCGGGATACTGGACACAGGAGCTTGCATTGTAGTTACTCTTAGTTACCCTCTTGGTGCTTCGGGACAGAAAGTAATAAGCACAAGGGGGGGCTATCTGGCCGGCAGGAAACGTCTTTCGTCCAGGATGATTGATTTGTGAAAGCTGTGACGTCACCTCTGTAGCGGTCCTGTCTGTTTAGTTTATGCCAGGGGAGCCCAGGCGGAGGAGCTGGACTCTGCCTGAGCAGCGGAAGCTGTCTACGCACTCTCCGCTGCTATGCTAGGTGGCAAAGTGGCCTTCTAGGCTCTGTAGGCCACAAACAAAGAGGCAATTGGTTCTCGTAATTGGGAAATGATTAACTTGTCTTCTTTGATCCCTTCTGCCCTGTGTGAGGACGGTCAAGTGGCTGGGGTGGAGACCGCTTCCATTATTTTCAACATTGCTAAGGTAAACAGCATAAGAAATTCTAGAGAGGCCCAGATCTGTTCAGAGAAAGAGGGAGAGAGAGAGAGAGAGAGAGAGAGAGAGAGAGAGAGAGAGAGAGAGAAACATGTGTGCATCTCTATAAACAGAGTAAAACATAAAATAAAACATAAAAATACACCCACTTCCTCTAACTTTTTCTTTGTTTTTCTTTTTGTTTTTTAAGGTCTGAATTTCCTGTTGGTATTCACAAAGATGCTTTTTATTTTTAACTTCTTGTTTTCCCCACTTCCGACCCCGGCCCTGATCTGCCTCCTGACATTTGGAACGGCCATCTTCCTGTGGCTGATCAACAGACCTCAGCCAGTCTTACCGCTCATTGACTTGGACAACCAGTCTGTGGGGATTGAGGTAATGGCCTTCAGTTTGTCAGCCTTGACTGAGCACAAACTGCAATTCAAAACCTGGGGGGGGGGGGGCATAGGAAGGAGAGAACTAGGGAAGTGACCCTTTAATCTGCAAATGTAAAGAAATGTCTTTTTCTAGCAAATTTTCCTTGAAACAAAATAAAACCAGTATTCTATGGTGGTGGTCTAGATCATGGGGTTGCTAACGACTCCACTTTCTACGAGGTGTAAACTAAGGAGAGAGTTAAGATGGCTTTCAAATCCTTAACCAGGTAAATTGTTTGTAAATAACTAGGCAGACTGTTTAACTAGGTAAATTGTTTATAAAGACACCTTCCTAGGAGACCAGCTTCCTGGAAGCATCCAGTGTCTGAGAATGGCAGAGAAGCAGTTTTCTTGAGTTCTGAGTTTCAGTTAATATTGAACACTGGTGGAAGTTGAACCAGGCAGATTCCTTTGGCTTTCAGCAAGATGCTCAGCTTCCTTCTGATCTCTGAGATAAAGTCCCCAGCCTTTCCTTCCCTCAGCCTCCACAAGTGGCAAGCACCATCCACTTTCATCCAGTTCCCCCTTCAGAGAAAAGAGCGTCCTTCTCTATGGCCAGTTGACGGACACCCCTGCCCCATTCCACAACCTCCCTCGCCCACTCCATTTGTAAGCCACCAGCCTTCAGCCTTCTTCTAAACTGACTGACACTTGCATCTTGACCTTTCCACCTTCCACACCCCCTTCACCGATGCATCTTATTCTCAGGGAAGTCTCCTCAGTCATCTAGGCTCCTCCCCTTCTGTGTCTATCATTTCCTTCCCACTCCTTTTTTGATTCCCATGAAGCAAGGGACCCTCGGTAAGGGGCAGGCAGTGAATTGTGGAGGTTGGATGGCCCACATGCATCTGGAGCTGGCGTCCACTTAATGCTGTTAGAGAGTGAGAGCACCAGCAACACGTAAATAAATATCAGAACTGTGTACAGTAAAAAGCACCAGGCAAGACTCCGAGAGTCTAGTGAAATGTTCAGTGGATTAAGATGCTTGCCCTGCAGGCTGGAGACCTGAACTCAATGCCCAGAAGCTGTGGAAAGCCGGAAGGAGAACCAGCCTCAGAGCAGCCCTCTCCCTCCCATGCACACGCCATGGGACGACACCTACACAGTATTCCAACACAATACATTACTTTAATTTAAAAATGTCCGTAAAAGCACGGCACCCAGTTCTGACATCAGTGAAATTCAAGTGTCATGAGCTCTCTGTGGTTATGAGTTATAGTTCTCTCTTCACATACACAGGAGTACACACAAATACTCACACATGAACATACACACAGACATTCACACACATGTACTTGCATGAATATGAACGTGTAAAATATAATATGACTATATCACAACTTTAGGTTTAAGACATTGACTGGAAGCTGCTGAGATAGCTCACTGGGTAAAAGGTGCTCACTCCTTGAGCTCAATCCCCCTGGGGCCTGAACAGGGGAGGGGAAGGGAAGGAGGAGGGAGGGGGCAGGGAGGGGGGAGAGAGGGAGAGGGAGGGGGAGGGAAGACTTAAAAAAGGAAGGAGGAAGCTGAGAGCAGAAGGATGGGACTGCAGTTTCTATGGGGAGGCTAGAGAGATGAGAGGCCATGGAAAGGGGATTTGGTAAAGCAGCCCAGAGCTGAGAGTGTCCAGGCGGGTGCCTTAGGACGGTGTAGAAGGCTCGCTCAGGGAGCTGGAGAAACACATCTGTCAAGGAATTGTTAGAGTGTGTGAGGGGAGGAGTAGCTGAGAAGGTGGACTCTAGAATTTGGGGTGAAATTTGATGGGACGGCAGGAGCCAGCCAAAACAAATGATCCATACATACCTTAGGAGAGTCAAAGCAGCAGCTTGGTTCAGAGAGGCCAAGTCCCTAGGAAGGAAACTCCTATATATCAATCCCCGGTTCCAGCACCAGATGAACGAGAAAAGAAATAATAGGAGGGGCGTAACTGCTTCCTAGGCGTGGTGGAAGAAGTTTATTGTACGAAGAAGGGAAAGCAGGGCCAGAGGCAAGGACATCTGGGAGAGTCCAGAGAAAAAATGACCCCAAGTTGGGCCACGTGAGGAGGTGTGGAGAGGGGAGAGGGAAGAGCCAGACCAAGAGGCCAGGAGGGTAAGGGGTAGAGGAAAATGGTCTGGTAGCCAAATGGCTGGATAATATAGGGAAGGGCACCAGGAAGAGCAGCCCAGCTGCTGGGCTGGAGAAATTTAGGTTAGGGGGCAGAGAGTGCCAGCCAAAGCCTGTAACGGATGGGGACTGAGGGGTGCTGGGAGAGCATGGGTGACAGGCCTGCTTTGATAGGGTAGATATCATCCATTTGTCCCAGGTTTGAGACCTAACAGGGCCCACAGTGGAGGAAAGGAGAACCCCCTCCAGGTTGCCTTCTGAACTCCATACGTCATACGCAATGCACGCAATAAGTAAATAAAAATATTGAGTTTTAAAATTGAGTGTGAAAGAAGGAGGGGCTCATGGTGCTGTGCTCTGCCTCCCCTGAGGGAACTGTCAACAGTTGGAAGCCGAGGTGTGCTCGGGAATTCGGTGATGTAGCCACTGGCAATTACCCACAACCCACTGGGTTGTTGTTCTTCACTCACATCTGGGATTCAGGTCCCAGGGAAATTCCATTTCCTCCAACTCCAAAAGGTAGTCCTGGAATGTAGGAGACAAAAGGCAAGCATTCCTCCCGAACCTGTGAAGCCAGTTTGCCTCCAACAAAGGAGCCACTCACGCTTCTCACTGGCAGGAAAACGCGTGGCTGCCTGTAATACTTATTAGCATCAATTAGCATACCAAAGTCCAAGCGAGGCCTCCAGGATCCCTTACAGTCGCAGGGCCCTAGCACACCTTTCAAACCGCACCGTATGCTAGGGTCCTAGCGCCTCTTACTCCAGACTTGCTCCAGCTCATGGGCTTCCTTCCCGCCACTACTCACCTCCGTAGAAGCCTATCTTTATATGCTCTCTGTCTCTGTCTTGTCTCTCATCTCTCTCCAGGTTCCTCCCTCCCTGCTCTGATCCTCTCACAGCCAGGTCGAGTCTAAAGGCCAAGGCCATCTATCTGGCTCTCTGCTCTGGATGCTTCCAGATGCCTCTGGCTGTTCTTTCATCTACAATTAAAAAAAAAAAAAAAGGCTTCCCCTTAACCCGACGATGGAGTCAGTTTATATAGATTCTGTCCTCAGTTTATATACATTCTGAGCTTAAAAAAAAAAAAAAGACATGAAAGAAAGAATTTTGGGAGAGGAAGAGGTGGGAATAGGAAGAGCCAGAGAGGATAAGGGGATGGGTGTGGTCAGATCAAATTATACGCATGTATGGAAGTTTCAATGAACACATTTAATTTTAAAAGTTGACTAAGGAAGATAAGGTCCCGGTGATTTCAGAAGTCAGCAGTTATGATATCCCAGCCCATGAAAGTTTTGGAGAGAGTGGAGAGAAACTCACACTGGGTCTTGTGTTCCAGGGAGGAGCACGGAGGGGCGCTTTCCAGAAGAACAATGACCTAATTCTTTATTACTTCTCAGACGCCAAGACATTGTATGAAATTTTCCAAAGAGGACTTGCTGTGTCTGGTAAGCCTGGCCACTTGGCCTTGTCTGAAAGAAACCCCAGCTGGCTTTGGTTTATCCTGGTCCTCCCTGACTGTCCTCTAAACCCACAAAGAGCCACTGGATAGAGCAGAGCATAAGGCACCATGTCAGAATGAGGGCTGCTGGGAGAACACAGAACTCAGCCCTTCCACACAGGTTTCAGTGCACTCTGCTCCCTAAAATGGCTCTCAGCACAAGAAGAAACTGCCTGCCCAGGCTTGAACCAGTGTTGTGTAGGCAGAGGTTTTGACAGTTCAATACACATTACGTTTGTTTACAGAACATCTTTTGATGATATATTTCCTTGCAGTAAATACATATAAACAACCTGAGTCAGGACTAACAGTGGAGACTTGGAGCAGTTCTAAGCTCTAGTGTGACTTCTGCATCAAGCTTCCGGTCATGCCGTCGTGTTTAATATCACATAAAGTAGTCATCTGTGGGCCTTGAGAAAGCCAAACACCAAATGGGCTTCGTTAAGCTTATGTGGAACAAATAAAGTGTCCAAGTTTTAATGGGTTATGCTGTCGAGCCCATTGCTAGATGCCCAAGTCTCCTTTCCTAACCGCCTACCTTGCAGCTCTTTGCACTTTTATCTCTTATGCAGGACTGGTGTCAGTGTGCCTGTGTGGCAGTTATCTCTTCCACCCTTTCAATGTATCAGCGACCCTCAAGAAAAACTAACTATGCAGCAGTTATAACCCGTTATCTACGCAGCCTACTAGCTAGTTACTGTTACTCTCCATCTTAAAGATCAGGAAATGGAGACTCTAAGGTTCAAGGACTCAAGGTCAAGGAAGTAGAAAGGGTTGCGGTTGTTATTTCAGCCTGTGCCGTTTAGGATGTAGTTTAATGATTCTGTTAGGTAAATTGGTCAATACTTTAACAAAAATAGTTATTCCTCATTAGTAAAGACTTAGTTTGTATTTTAGCCTTTCCTTTAAAAATGAGTAGCTTGTTTTTAATTTCCATTGCGTGTATTCAATGTGCATGATACTGTTACATAAGGACACATTCATGCACGTATATAACGTGTGTTAGCACTTCCCCCATTCTCCCTAAAATAACGTTCAGAAATCAGTTCCTCACAGAACCAAACCACATGAGCAGCTACACTATTCCTGCATATTTACCCAGAGGACTCTAATTCAGCACATCACAGAGACATGTTCAAGCCAATATTTATTGCAGCGCCATCACAATAGCTAAGGTATGGAACCAGCCTAGGTGTCGAAGGATAGAGGAATGATTAAGGAAATATGGTATATATGCATGTGTAAAAAGATATACATATACTTTATATATATATCGTATAAATACAATATATACTTTTTCTTTGTATATTTTTATTCAAGCTAAGATAATAAATGTCTAAAATGACTTAAGATATTATTAGAAATGCAGACTTCTTATGAGAAAATGCCTTTATAAGATAGGGCTGCAGGCAAGCCTGCAGGCATTTTCTCAACTGATTAATGAAGGAGGATCCACCTCATGGTGGGTGGTGTCACCCCTGGGGTGGTGGTCCTGGGTGCTATTTAAAAAGCAGGATGGGAAAGCCATGATGAACAATCCAGTAAGCACCTCCCCATGGCCCCTGCAATGGCTCCTGCTTCCAGATTCCTGTCCTGTTTGAGTTCCTGCCCTGACTCTCCTCAGTGGTTACCTGGAAAGAAAATGAAAGAAGCCCTTTCACCTCCAAGTTGCTTTGGACACAGTGTTTCATCTATAGCAGCAATAGAAAACTTGCCAAACTTACTTATTTGTACCATATTTTTCCTCTTTTGTTCAGTGTAGATTTTATCAGCTATCTGCTTGCATTTAGACTATAGATAAGCACATAAGAACCAGTATTTACACAGACATACCTATTAATTTTGATTTTAAACTTAGAGCAGACTCCAAGCCGACTTTTAAAATGCAAATTAGATGCACAATACACTGCACAAATACAGTTTATCAAACAATATGATTTTTTCATCCTTAGAAAAGAATTAAGTTTTTTGTGTACAGGAAAATAAATACAACCGGAAATAATTTCGTGAATCAAGTCAATCCCAATAGAGCATGTGCCATGTTTTCTCTCAGTGTGGATCCTAGGTTCTGTAGAGATATAAAATCACATGAGGAAACTTTCCATAGGATGTCTCCACAAGAGATATTTAGCACTTCTGGGTCTAAATCAGCATTTGTTTGAATGCCGTGCAGATAACAAAAAGCAAATCGAACATTCAAGGCTCTACTTACCGAGGGACTTGAGAGAGTAGGTGGCTAACACCAAATTTCCTTTGTGGTTTCCTGTCTTTAGAAGGTCTATTAAGCACCTAGACTATATGCTCTTTTTCAACTAAAACTAAGGCATTCTGCGTGTTATATGTGGCTGAGAAGACATTTTATTCAGGATCTTTTGAAAAATTTAAATTAGAATTCAAGTGGTTAGGTTACTACGGCTTATGCATCCAGGCTTACCAACTAGCTTGGCTACTGCTGAAGAAGAAAATGACAGCTCTGATGTTATCTGGGGTTGAATATATCAACCAGTCCTACTGACTCCCTGACCTATCTGGGAATATTGGTTAAAATGTGTAGTCTCTGATTCAACTTTCTTTTCCCCATGGAATCAGAATTTCAGAAAATGAGACCTAATGATTTTTAGGATACTTAGGACAAGTTCAAAAGAGGGGTTCTGGGGATTCTTCATGTCCTTCAAACTGCTTAGCTATGGGTGTCTACCTGGTCCTGGCGTTCTCATATGCACTCTTGGAAGGTAGCCACACCTTAGAACCCAAGCAAGGCCGAGTTGAGTAACTTAAACAAGGTAGGAGGTAGCTTGCAAGCAAAAGCTGATAGAGCATGGAGTTTAATGAGATCTGAGCTGTCGCCCTGTGGGCTAATTACTTGACTTGCTTCTTGGTGAGGGTCCTCTGTTGGCAGTTTTGTTAATCAGGAAGTAATGAGGAGCTGTGAGAGTCCCTCCACAGCCGTGGACTCCCCCTCTTATTAGGCGAGCTTCAAGTTGGCCCAGTCCAGTCCTTCATAGTTCTTAGTCCGATGGGGATGACAATACTGGGAAGAGCAGGCTCGTTCCTGCTGGGGCACATGACTTCAAGTGACGGTAGCTGTCATTAGTGACTAATTGCAGGACAAAGGCTCCCTCTGGAAGGCCCAGAGGATCAGTGGCTGTGGTCAATGGGCAGATCTGGACTTGCCACACTCCAGGGAATATCTGGCCTGAGGTTCTACTTCTGGACCTTTCCTGTAGCTGTCTCAGCAGGAAGACAGTGATGGAGCCCCCTTAGGCAGACTCCTCAGCCATTGTTCTTATCTCCCTAATGGAAGTAGCTATCTCTTTCCTACTCCTCTTCCTTCTTCCTTCATCACACAATTGAGAAGCTCACGCGTTTGCCCATGGATCTCAGTGATGACTCCCTTGGCAAGCCCTGAATTCCTCTCAATGATTTGGCTGAGTTTTTGGACTCTTCACTCCTTCACTCATGTCTATTTCTTTTGGTGGTGCTGAGGACTGAACCCAGGACCAGGAACATGCCAGGGTAATGTTCTACCACTGAGCCACACTCCCAGAATCCCCAGACTTGTTCTGATTTTAAGGTAGGCCAAGTAGTTTAGAGGTTTATAAGTTGAATTCTCTTACTGTCCAGTGTAAGACACAAACTGCAGAAATATTGAAGGCAAACATGATCTTAGAAACATGCATGTGTACAGCTGACTCATGAGATTAGATAAAAATATAAAAATATGGAAAAGATCCATTTTCATTAGTTGTTAAAACAGATGAAAGTAGTAACTTTTCAAATCTATAAAGCCAGAAATAAATTTTAAACAACACTATTTACATCTATGCGAGTGTGTTGAAACTCAATTGGATGAACAAAAGTAACTGTTTACAACAGTTCGGCCAAGCTCAGAGCTGAATGCCAAAGTCCCAGCTCCTTCTGCCCTACTTTGTTTTCTATTGCTATGACAAAAGTCATGGCCAAAAGTAACTGGGGAAGGTAGGGGGTGGTTTAGCTTAACACTTCCTTTTCCTAGTTGGCTACTGAGGCAAATCAGGGATGGACCTCAAGCAGGAAGCAGAGGTAGGAACCATGAAGGAGTGCTGGTTGCCTGCCTGGGTTTTAATACACCCCAGGTCCACCTGCTCAGAGATGGCACCACCCACAGTGGGAGGGGACTATTTAACTTCCTTGTTTCATACTAAAGGACAAGGTTTAAGGAAATACTCCAAGTTGAAATGATGAACTTGATATTTGCCATTTAGAGGGACCGAGGCACTTGAAACCATTCTACATATCTACAATGAAATAAAGTCAACTACTGTAGAGTCCTTTGTCAGATGGCTGTTGAAATTCTACAGAGAAAAATAGCATGGGAATGTTTATAACAAAGTAGGAGAGGAAGCATAATCCTTTTTTATTCCAAATATGTGGATGAGCACATCTGAACAGAACCATGCGTAAGAACAATGGAAGGAAATAGTATTATTAATGTTGTAGGAAGAACGATGATGATTCGTATTTTGATTTTATTAGCATATTTTTTACTATAGAGATGCTCATTTTCTCTCTCTCTTATTCAATACAGGCTGTTTGTGTTTATATGTCCAGCTTATTTTATTCATGTTACTTGGTCTTGTCCATATTGGTGGCCTGAACCCCCATCTTATCATGGTAGCCATGGAATCAGTACTGAACTACCCTGTCTTGTAATATTTCCTAAATGTTTGCCCTTGAATTTCATGGACACCAGAGAAATTCAGATTCTCGCTAGATTTAGTCTCTGTGTCTTGGCCTTTTCTGGGTGTTCTTTTCTCTTTCTGGTCCATATGATTTGCAGCTAGAATTGATTTGCTTCCAATGTTTTATGCTTTAGATAATGGACCTTGCTTGGGATACAGAAAGCCAAACCAGCCCTACAGATGGATATCCTACAAACAGGCAAGTCAAACTCCTGCTTTGAAAATGCCTTTGCTTGTGTGCCATGAGCTGCTTTGGTCTCTTTTTGATCTTGACCTGACCCCTTATTCTTTCTCCTAGGTGTCTGATCGAGCAGAGTACCTGGGCTCCTGTCTTTTGCATAAAGGATATAAGGCATCACAGGACCAATTTGTTGGCATCTTTGCTCAAAATAGGCCAGAGGTACCATATTGAAGCTAACTAACTAAACGGATGTACCCCAATACAGCATTCTGACCCTTGCTGAAGATTTACCCAAGCCATGTAAAGATTCCACAATGCTTACTTATTCTTCTTAGTCCAAAAGAGCTGGGCTTCCGAGCCTCCTCAAATCCCTGCTGAGTGTCTGCTGCGCTAGCCTGTGTGGTTGGACTCCAGTGTGGATCATTTTAAGTCACTCTGATCTTCCTATGAGGAAAATAAAGACATTACGAGGGATGACTCCATAAAGTCTTGAAGGTGTTGGAGAATGAGAGGAATCAATGTTAGGACTAGACTTTGTACCTTGTGCTTGACCTGGTAAACCAATGTATCCGTGCCTACTGAGTCTGGCCATCACTATCTTCCATCACTATCTTACCACGGTGAGCTGAAAGCAGATGCTACACACTAAGATGGTTGGAAATAATCTTATTCCCAAGTTCCAATAAAATCAGTAAGCCCAATATCCTTCAAAAGAGACTTTGTGGGGCTCATGCATTTGCTAGAGCCATTGCTTTAGTAGGATTTTTAAATTTTAGTTGGAAAAGTACTATGTACCCCAGTGTAGGAACTACAGTAAGAAAAAAGTGAGTTTATTTAGTCTAGTGACTTAACAACAAACCTGTGTATCGGCCAGTCTTCCAGGACTACAATAGTGAAACTTGAGATTAAGGTGCCCACAGTAGAGTTTCTCCTTACGAATCTCCCACTGATATGCAGGTGGCTATCTTTTCATTATGCCTCTCCCTCTGTCTTTTCTCGAAGCACATAAATCCCCGGGGTATCTTCTTCATCTCTGGATTATGGCCATATTCTTATGTTCATATTTAACTTTAAATCACATTAAGGATTAGAGTTTCAACATGAATTTGGGTGAATGGGAGGGGACACAGGTCAGTGTATAAGATGTAGTCTGCCGGTTATGAGAAATGGTTCTCTTTGTGACACTCCTCATGCTTGTGTGTGGGCGTAGTGGCATACCTCTTTTTATGTTCATTTTCATTGTATTTAGCTGTATTTTTTTATCTTGAATAGTCGCAATCCTGTGAAGCTCTGTCCAGCTTCCCTAGCTTCCTAGGATCAGATAATCTTGACCTCTACTCTTGAAAGGTGTCTGTGTCTCTCATAGACTCTATAAAACTTTCCACAGCTTTATGGGTGAAATGACCACTCTCCTCTTTTGTGTGCTGCTCTACCTTGGTTTTATGGTTATTTTTGTGTATATCTTATTTATTTAAATGTTCCTTACAGCAGGATAAGTGACAATCTCTATGGACATTCCTAAAGGTTTTAAAAAATAAGCATACTAAATAAGTATTTGCTAGTTGAATATCAATGCTCTCCAAAGTCAATTTCTGGTACTTAACTTGAACTTTTTCTCTACAGTGGGTCATCTCTGAGTTAGCCTGTTACACATATTCCATGGTAGCTGTCCCCCTGTATGACACACTGGGAGCAGAGGCCATCATCTATGTCATCAACAGGGGTAAGTTATTATTATCATTTTATAATTTTATTCTTTCTTAATGTTGAATAATTCTTTAATTTTCTTCATTTATTTTTTCTTAGTTTTCTGATATTATGATATTTAGAATATCATTTACACAGAAACTACAAAAATGCCTGAGACAAAGGTATGCTTAGATAAGAGGTTCGGCAAAATTAAGATGGCATAGGATAGTTTAGAGGCAAGACTACTTTAAATACATGGAATAGAAGTCTGCATGCAATAGGCTTGCCTAAGCCACGGTGTACGCATAGAGATTGCTTCCTATTCCTTTGAAAGCTTGAATGCTTAATTCAGTCTATGTAAGCAATATGCACCAATATACATGTAAATGTGTAGAAAAACATTGGCACTGTTAGACAAATAAGACCAAGTTCAACTTGCAACAGTATCCTTTCGATCATCTAAGGGAGTATCTTTTGTCTCTGCATTGGTAGGCTGAGTAGCTTTGTTTGAATAATACATACCTCAGAAATGATGACATTGAGAATCATAAATCATCTGCCTTCTAAAGATTCCATTCGCACTCGCCTTTCGCATCTGTTCCCTGCTCTGCAAAGCGGCAGCAGGAATATACCCAGGAGACAGTATTGGAATGAGTTTTCTTAAACAAAAGGATTTATACAGTCCTAGACACTAAAATGTGTCAGCGACATTAGAAAATAAAAGGGCTGGTGTTTCAGCTAAACTCATTGTTCCTATTTTTTCCTTTTTATAGACAATAGAGTATTTCAGCTTGAACCCTGTAAATCTCATTTACAGATTCACTCAGGAATCTACCGTCTGTGTGTGACATTTAATAGCCACCCCCATTTTTTTTTCAAAGAGCCATGTATTTAACAGAATAGGGTGGTGACTTCTGGCTTGGTTTCTGCTTTTAGCCGATATCCACGTGGTCATCTGTGATACACCCCAGAAAGCAACAATGCTAATAGAAAATGTGGAGAAGGGCCTTACCCCAGGCCTGAAGACAATCATCTTCATGGATCCTTTTGATGACGACTTGGTGAAAAGAGGAGAGAAGTGTGGAGTTGAGATGTTATCTCTGCATGATGCTGAGGTATGAGTCACAAACAGCTTGCATCTAGGTAGGTGGTTTATCATCAGGAGCAGGATGCAGCCCATGTACACAAAAGCATAGGGCTGTTGTTCAAGGATAGCATACATAAACCAGACTCAGAAGCCTGAAGGACAATTTCTTTGACGACTACAAAACTCCCGACAGAGGTGGACAGATTTCCTTGGCTAGCTGTATACCCTTCTGAATATAGACTATATAGATGGAGAAACTCAAGGATGTTTATGAATCTGGTCCCTGAGGCAGGTTGCCTGAGTTCCTGTTCTAGTTATTCACCTGTTACAAGCCACATCTCTCCCTAGCTATAAATGGAAGGTTAAGGTGGTACTAATCTTACAGATATGTTGGCAAGGGTTAAATGAATCAGTGTGTGTGTGTGAATTACTCAGGAAAGTGAGTAGCATAGCATACATCCTGGCATAGACATGATTTATATCACCCAAGAAAGATTTAATTATGCTCTTAGATAACTGGACCTTAAGAGAATGGTGATAAGCTTGAGACGTGTCTTCTTTAGGTTAACATTCTTGAGGAACTTTCTGCTTTCCCCTGATGCTTTCATCGATATCAACATTAGCTTATGGGTTAAATCTAGGCTGGAAACTGGGAGGTTGAGAACAGGGGAAGGAAGAGCTGACTTTGTCATAAGTCTGTCCATCCTCAACAACTCTTTCTTTTTCTTGATTTCCTGTGCACTTAGAATCTAGGCAAAGAGAACTTCAAAAAACCAGTGGTAAGTGTTCTTCCTGAATTTGAGTTTTGTATAGTTCACTCTTAGTTCATCGCAGACTAATATCCTTGTGTTCCTCCTCCAGCCTCCGAACCCAGAGGATCTAAGTGTTATCTGTTTCACCAGTGGAACTACAGGTTGGTGCCTGTGACACCTTGAGCTCTGAGGGAGCCAGAAATAAGACTAAGTCCTGAGCATACCATGCCACCACCCTGTCCCTGTGTGCTCACAACCTGAGCCATTTATGAATGGGTTCCCAGATAGAAAAACGCAAGCATAAAGAAACAGATTCTTCTGAATACAAATGGTAGCATCCACTTGCTGTGGATTTTAGGATTCTTAAAGATGGTGTTAAAATGTCAACTTTTCCTCTACCCTTCCACTGCTTCAATCAGATGTAGCATGGGGATAATTTCATAGAACATTGGGATGGATTAATGGATGTACCACTGGAATGGTTTCATTCAGTCAGGGTAACTCAGTGTTGGCTCTCCACAGATGGCTGTGTCCTTACTGAACAACATTTAGTAGAAGGTTTAATCATATTTATTGTGGACTGTTACAATATGCCTGGTTTATAAAGTTCACAGCAATATTGTTGGGAGGTCTTAGGTATAAAGTCTTAAACACGTGAACAGCACAAGAAGGGATAATTTGCAACTTACTGTTTTCCTATTATCACCTGAGATTCTGCCTGTGCTGTAAACTAAGAGGTCAGGGAGACAGTAAGTGGGGTGGGTGGATTTCTGAGGCACGAATCATTCCCAAGCAGAGGCATAAATGTCTACAGCAAGCTACAGTCAAGAGGACAACTTCTGTCTCTAGACCAGAACCAAATTGAATTTAGCTTCTTTCAAGGTCAAATTTACAAATTATCTACACTAAGGATCTTTCTCTTCACCTCTGCTTTCCTACAGGTGACCCCAAAGGAGCTATGCTAACCCATCAAAACGTTGTTTCAAATATGGCTGCTTTCCTCAAATTTCTGGAGGTCAGTGCTCAGTCAAAAAAGAGGCCCTTGCTAAAATGTGACTTGGCTATAAGATTTTTAGGAGGAACACTTAAAAGTCTGTTATTTTTGTCATCACTGTGACAAAACACTTGACTTACGTGACTTCTGGGGGAGGATTAGTTGGCTTAAAGTTTGCAGAGTGGCATGATGGTATAGGCAGCTCCATTGTGCCGCCAGTGGAACTGGGATTTTTAACTGGAATATAATACCTCAAGACCCACCCCAAGTAACTCCTTTCCTCCAGTGAGGCTCCACCTCCTAAAAGTTCTACAACCCCAGGAGACAGTAGTGCCATCTGGGGACACAGAAGCCTAGAGGGTCTTCTGCATGTAAACCACACCAATAACAAAATATGGAAAACACTGACATAGCCTTTAGGGCTCCATGTCAAGCTTCAGTGTTTCAGGGTCCCTGCGTTGAATGGTTACAGGATATATCAGGTTGTGGAATACATTAAGTACCCAGGGAGGTGTTTATGTGCTATGCATTTTAAGAGTCTTAAAGATGATGTCAAAATATCAAGTTTTTTTTCTCTATGCTACCACTCTCTCAGAGGGGATAGTTTCAGTTGGACGGGCTTAATCAAAAAAGAGAAGGGGAATTTTAAAATCTCTATTGGAGAGAAACTGAACATCAACCCACTGTTGTTTGTCCCTGTTCTACAGCCTATCTTCCAGCCCACCCCCGAGGATGTGACCATATCCTACCTCCCCTTGGCCCATATGTTTGAGAGGCTTGTCCAGGTGAGTGGCCTGTGAACCTAGCAGGTAGGAAGGGGTTCCTGACTTGCTGGCTCCACATTTATTCAAAATTCAGGGATGCAGGACATCCCTAGTCCTTTCTGTATGAAATCAAGCAGACATACCATTGGTTTCTTTGAGTCCTGACTTACAGCAATTCATCTAGTAAGTCTGACTATCTAAGGAGGATATTACTTGCTCCTGACTTCTCAGGGCACATATTGTCTGTCTTCTCTTAATCCTGAGCTGACTCCTCAGATGTTTTTACTTATATGATGATTAGAATTTTAAGAGGATCTAGGGTTAGAGAAAAGTGTGTCCACTAGGGGAGCAGGGCAGAAACACCTGATCCAGATCAAGGGTCTGCTCTCCCCAGGGAGCATCTTTACAGATCACTTGAGTGTGTAAGGTGGTATTGTCAGGCACGGCATGTGTCCCTCCTTGGAGCCTCTCCAAAATTTCCAGCCATTCTGAAGCTGGATTGAGAACAAAAGAAGCACTAACATTTCAATACCACAGGTGCTGTGGGAAAGAAGTCTTTTCCCTCCCTCCCTCTGCCCTCAGTACCCCCTTCCATATGCTCGGTCGATATACATAAAGCCACATTGCTTCTAATAAAACTTTACACATATTTTAGTATTTCTCAAATTGGGCCAATCTTAACTGAAGGCATGTTTTTCTATTTTAACTGGCCGCAGTTTTTTTTTAGTGCCAGAAGATGCATGCTTCTCATGAAGGATGGTATCTTAGACCGGGACCCAGAACTGTGGTAGAGCCTGAGGGTGGCACCCACAGTTTCACAGTCTGTTATCTGTCTTGCCACTTCAACAGTAATACGTTTCCATCGTTTCTTTCGGGGAAGCCTCTCAGACACCTCCTCGGGTATCTGAATTGGCAGGAAGCAGGTCTTCTGCAAAAGGACTTGCCTGCCGATTTCAGATTTCTCACTTCCATCAGAGATAGGACTGCCTATAGAGATCCAGGGCACTGAGCCCTGTCTTCCATCTTGTTCCAGGGTATCATATTTTCCTGTGGAGGCAAAATTGGCTTCTTCCAAGGAGATATCCGGTTGCTACCTGATGACATGAAGGTTTTGAAACCCACTGTGTTTCCCACAGTGCCTCGACTCCTTAACAGGGTCTATGACAAGGTATGAGCCTTGCTTCTTGCTTGGGATTACACTGCTTGCTTGGGCAGGACTGGATCCTGACAAGAATCAATTCCAGCTCTGTCTGAGCTCTGACAAGCATCTCTATAAGCACGTTAGAGCTGCCACTGTGAGAAGCCATGGAATGCACCTTTTCTCTGGGTAACATTGCTGACTTGAGGAAGCGCTGCACTAAGACCAGGGTGGGGGGGAGCACCTCAGTTTTTAACCAACACACTGGAAAGTTCTTCCTCTGATTTGTATATGCTGGTAATTTAACTTTGTGATTGAGGTAAACATTTCCGATGTATTTGCTCATTTAACCTTCCGAAGAAACACAGTAAACCATGGTCATTCACAGAACTCTGACAATGTGGAAGCAAAACTGTGGGTATTAAAGAATTTTCCCAAAGTCATAGCTAATAAAGAAAGGGACTATAAAGCTAATAAAGAATAAACTCTCACATGGTAGTTTGAGCTGACACTGAGTGAGTACTGTTCACTCAGCTTGCAAAATGGCGGTTTTCCTACCCCCAACTCTTACTTCTTCTATACTCCTTAGCTGACGTTCTACCATAAAGACCGAACAAATATTTTATCCTCTCCTTTATTTGTCACTCATAAATATAATGAATTCATGCTCCAGCAATCCTTATAAGTGACCAGTGAGGATTTTTTTTAATATTAGTATGAACTCATCTTTATATTTTTCTGTTCATTTTAGTCGTTCTTTTTGATGTTCCAAGTGTGTCGATCAAGTTCTTATGCATCCTTTTGACATGACTCCAGTAATCTATGATGATGGGTCCTGAGCTTCATTTGTATGTTTCTCACCCAAGCCTTAGACTGCAACTGGCCATTGAGAGCTGGGATTTGAATCCAGGCGATATAGGGTAGTATCTGCTATCCCATAGACCTGGAGCCCAAGGAAATGACACCATTATTCATATTCTTTGGGCCTTACCTCTCAGATTCTGATACTGGCACTCCGTCTTTACCAGAGGCCAAAGCTGTAGTAGCTTTGGATAGTATTTGAGCTGGAGTAGGTATGGATAGTATTCAGATGATGTGTGAATACTGTAAGCTCTGGTAACACTTTTCCAGTTCCTCATCAGACTTTGGCGTCATCAGATTGGGTTGTTATGTTTTTTGTGTTATTGAAATTTTTTATTTTTGAAAGAAAGTATCTTACAATAATAATATATAGCAGATAATTTGAATCTGGAGCTTATTACATACATGGAGATTTTATTAGATATATTTCCTTTTTTTATGTTTTTTTAAGGATTTATTTTATTTATATGAGTATACTGTAGCTGTCTTCAGACACACCAGAAGAGGGCATCAGATCCCATTACAGATGGTTGTGAGCCACCATGTGGTTGCTGGGAATTGAACACAGGACCTTTGGAAGAGCAGTCAGTGCTCTTAATCACTGAGCCATCTCTCCAGCCCATGATATATTTCCAATCATAGTTTTTTGTCTGTGACTTGTTAGGAGAGCTAGTCATGTGACTGTAAAAGGTAAGCAGTTTGTGGTAAAGATGGGCATCAGGCCTGTTATAATGTAGGCAGCATTTAGTGTACCTCAGAATCAGATGGTGAGACATAGCTAAATGATGTTACAAGCACAGGAGTAGCCTGGATCCCAGCCTGAATTGGGAGGCGAGGATGAACAACTCTTGCTGTCTCCGGCCTGTAAACGGAAACACAGGTCAAGAGAGGCATCCTGTCCGTTTCGAACAGGAAAGAAGTCCACTGTCCCAGAGTGCTTCTGGTGTGGAGAGGTCCTGAAGGCTGAGGAGCAGGGTTTAGGATATAATTTTGAAAATAAAGACGTTCCTGTGTGCTGTTCATGGGGATGCTCTTATCACAGGAGTGGGATTGATAGACTGTAGGGTTACAGTGATGCCAGGGTCAGGAAAAAGAGGAAAGAACATGAACAGGGAAAAATGATACCACGTGTGTAAGCCCAAAGGGGAGAAATAATGTCATTAGAGATTTCTGCTGGATTCTTTATGATGTGGCGAAGGGACATTTGCTGTAATGATGGTAATTCTCTAGGGTAGGAGGATAAGAAAACATCAAGTGGAGGACATGTAGTACTAATTCTTAAAAGCCAAATTCTTAAACCTTTCTCTGGGCTACTAAGTCAAAAGCCCCAGGGTGATCATGCCCCTGGAGTAATTTCCTATCTGATTTTAAGCCAGTGGTGGTGACCATCTTTTTTGATTTGTTCATCTCTGTTACCGAAGTTGTTTCCTGGGGACCTGGAGTCATCGAGGTCTGGGGTGTTATGTAATAATGTCACTTGCTTCAGGATATGGGCATAGAGCTCTGTGGCTTGTCATTAGTAAGCAAACTAGTTCATGACAGTGCGACACTTCCTTATGAAGCAAGGACTTAGCATCTTGGCTGCTACCAAATGGCCTTGGTAAGTACCTCAAGTAGCTTTCTAACCAAGAGGCTTTATCACCCTTCCAGGTACATAACGAAGCCAAGACACCTTTGAAGAAGTTCTTGTTAAACTTGGCCATCATCAGTAAATTCAACGAAGTGAGGAACGGCATCATTCGGCGGGACAGTTTGTGGGACAAGCTCGTGTTTTCAAAGATTCAAGTAAGTTGAATAGACCCTGGACACCAGGGCTGGCCGCCACTTAGCATCCCCTTACCTTCCAGGTTGCAGTGGCCCCCAAACTAGAGATCTTCACAGATCTTCGATGCCCACTCCCACCTTTCTCTTTGGGCCTCCTTTGTGTATATGAGTGTGTTTGGGTGGGGGTGGGCAGCGTGTGGTATGCTGTCTGTGTGTGGGTTCAGAGGACAACTTCAGTTACCGAGCCTCACCTTCCTCTTTGAGACAGCGTCTCTCTTGTTCACAGCTGTATACACTAGGCTATTAGTTGGCCTACTAGCGTTTAGGGATTCTCTTGCTTTCGCCTCCTACATCTTCACAGGAAAGAGTTGGGATTACAGGTGTGCGCCACTGCATCTGGCTTTATTGGGTTCTGAGTGTGTGGAGTCTGGTCTTCCTCCTTGCACAGCAGATGCCTTACCCACTGAGCCACCTTCTGAGATCACTCTTGTGCAGCTTCGCACTAAAGAGAGATGACAAAGCATACAACAGATTCACGTAGATTTCAGCACTCTGTAGTGTTGTCTCAGTTGAGTTTTGCTAAATTGTATTTACTTAGTTGTAGTATGGTTTTGTTCAGTTTATAAGTGATATAAATTGAAGAACTTAAAAAACAACAGCAACAAACCCTCAAGTTCTCTCAGGAATGGCTGGTGAAAGCTCTAATAGGAAGCATTTTAAGTGATTTTCTAGGTACCAAGCTGTTGTGTATGTGCTTGTAAGTCAACCAAGTCGGATGGCTGGGCATGAGATTTCACCCATTTTACAATAGAGGAAAAGGAAGGACAGAGGCTCAACAGCTCTTTTTGTTTCTACTGAACAGGGCAGCCTGGGTGGGAAAGTTCGCCTCATGATCACTGGAGCCGCCCCCATCTCCACTCCAGTCTTGACCTTCTTCAGGGCTGCAATGGGATGTTGGGTAAGATTTCACAGTTACATCAATGGAGCACACTATTCCAATAAAAATGAAATCGTAAATGAAAAGCACTGAAGAGAAGGCCACACCTCAGATCTTAGACAAGAGAAAACTCCTGACCCCAGTACTCACCTCTTCATGCATCAAATATAGAAACCTTTTTTTTTTTTTTAAAGATTTGTTTATTTATATAAGTACACTGTAGCTGTCTTCAGACACACCAGAAGAGGGCATCATATCTCATTACAGATGGTTGTGAGCCACCATGTGGTTGCTGGGATTTGAACTCAGGACCTCTGCAAGAGCAGTCAGTGCTCTTAACCACTGAGCCATCTCTCCAGCCCAGAAACCTTTTTTTAAAAGTTTATTTATTTATGTATTTTTAAGTGTAGTAGTCATGCCAGAAGATCCCTTCATGGATGGTCATGAGCCACCATGTGGTTGCTGGGAATTGAACTCAGGACTTCTGGAAGAGCAGTCACTGCTCTTAACAACTGAGCCATCTCTCCAGCCCTAGAAATCTTTTTTAAAGAACATTTTTTAAAGATTTATTTATTCATTTGCTAGATATGAGTACACTGTTGCTGTCTTCAGACACACCAAAGGAGGGCATCGGATCCCATTACAGATGGTTATGAGCCACCATGTGGTTGCTGGAAGAGCAGTCAGTGCTCTTAACCACTGAGCCATCTGTCCAGCCCAAGTATAGAAACCTTTACATAAACAGAATCAGGGTTCCAAAATACCCATCATGCTCTAGCCATTGGACTCCTTACCAAAAAGGTTAGTTCATGTCATTCACGGTTTCCCAAATGATGAGTCACTGTTGACAGTCTGCCTACATGCCACAGCACATGTGTGGCAGTCAGAGGACAGTTTAAGAGTTTTGGTTCTCTTCTTTCACCATGGGAGTCCCAAGGATAGAATTAGGTCCTCAGGTTTGGGGATAAGTGTCTTTCCCATCCTGCCAGCCTTACCTATTACATGTTAATGTACATCACCAAACTTTCGGGCAGGTCTTTTATACACACACGCACGTCATACTTAAAGTACCATTCCCTACACACGATGAGAAGTTTTGCAGCCAGTTAGTTGCCTCTAATTGAAACACTTCACTTCATACTGTTTCTTTTATCAATACGTCTTAGTTTGGGTTTTATTACTATGAGAGGGCATCATGACCGAGGCAACGCATATAAAGAAAAACCTGTAATTGAGGCTGGTATACAGTTCAGAGGTTCAGTCCATTATCATCATGGTGGGAAGCATGGCAGCGTGCAGACAGACATGGTGCTGGAGAAGGAGCTGAGAGTTCTACATCTTCATCTGAAGGCAGCAGAAAAAGACGGAGTTGTTGGAGGTAGCTTGAGCTTAGGAGACCTTAAAGCCCACCCTCACAGTGACACAGTTCTTCCAACAAGGCCACACCTCCTAAGAGTGCCACTCCCTGGGCCACGCATCCAGACACATGGGGGCAGGTCTCCCATGCCAAACCTGTTCAAACCACCGCAAATACCAAACTTCACTGCTAACTGACACTTTTATTTCTTCCATGGATTACTTCCTTACAGAAAACAAGCAATGGGTGATTTAGTTCCCTTGCAGATTGCTAAGAGTTCCTTATATACTTAAAAATTAATCTCCACTATGCTAGACATTTTTTGGTCTGTCTTTTTCTTTTGCTTTGTTCATAGCTATATAGAAATAGAATTGATATGCACGCCAATTGATGAAAAATTTCTGTTGTGTTTTTTTAATTGCTGAGACAGCCCTTTTCTTCCTTTTAAATTTTTTGTTGTTGCTTTTTTGTTTATTTTATGTCTATAGGTGTTTTGCCACATACATGCCTGTTGCCCTCTGAGGCCAGCTGTCAGATTCCCTAGGACTGGAGCTACAGGTGGTTTTGAGCTGCTGGGAATTGAACCCAGGTCTTCTGGAAGAGTAGCCAGTGCTCTTTGCTTCTGAGCCATCTCTCCAGCCCCTACAAGATTTTCTAATCCCCCAAATTTCTTAAAACCGTCTTTGCCCACATTTTCTGGTAGTTTTATGGCTTTACTTTTTTTTTTTTTCATTTATGCCTTATCCATCTGAAACATATAGATCTGGCTGTGGATGTTCTCTCTTCCTTTCCAAATGGAAATCTAGTTTGCTGATTCAGCCAAACATATATCGCAAACAAAATAGAAGTCAGAAACAGGCTCAGCCTCACAGAGACTATTCCCAGGCATGTACCCAGTATCAGAAGAGACTGGTGCCAGTCAGTGAAGGGTCTTTGGGGTTTTCAAACTGCCCTTCTATTGGCTATTCTTAGTACCTTTCTTTCCCTCAGCCTCAAAGATTAACAGAAAGTTTTTCTTCTAACCTCTTCCCAGAAATATCATCCTTCAGTAGGTCTACTTCTATCAGCCCAGCCAATTGCAGGCCACATCTCTGACTGCAGTAGCCTATCAACTTGCTTCCTGCCACCAGCCTTTCTCTGGTCAAGACTATCTTCTTTATATGAGGGTTAGCAACTACAGTACTACTTTCAGTGCCTGCTTTACAGTTGACATTTTACTAGGGCACAGCTAAGGCCATTCATTTATACATGGTCTATGGTTGCTATCATGTTACACTGATAGAGTTACATTGTTGAGACAGAGACCATATGTTGTGAAGAACTAGCAGCTGGGCATGCTTTTGAGGTTTTGCAACACTAATTTCAGCTCTTGTTTCTATAGTTTGCTTTCCTGTCTTGGCCATAAGGGATGGCCAGTCATACTTTATCTTAAGTCTCAAAGCTCTTCTTTGGTTTCCCAGGTGTTTGAAGCTTATGGCCAAACAGAATGCACAGGTGGATGTTCAATTACATCACCTGGGGACTGGACAGCAGGTGGGTTTTCCATTTGCTGGTTGGGAGAAGGCTTCTAAATGAACCATGGTTTAGGAATTTAAATAATTCTAGTGCTCTGGATGTAAATGGCAAATTCAAGTCTTGCTTTCATTCTTACAGTCCCATAAACATCTTAGAAATGTGCCTGCTTTATGGTTGCTCAGCCCAGAATATATGCTATGTTCTAGGTCATGTTGGGACGCCAGTGGCTTGCAATTTTGTAAAGCTGGAAGATGTGGCTGACATGAACTACTTTTCAGTAAACAATGAAGGCGAGGTGAGTAGGTCATGCCCAGCACTCAGATGATCGATGTGGGGAGGCTTAGTCCAAAAGGAGCATAAATCTATGACCTGACTTGGGTTTGATTCCTCAACTTTTAGGAAGCAATACAAGATCAGTGAACTTCATTATCCTATAGTGGGGACTAAAACAGTCTCCAAACTGTAATGGAAACCATCACGTGCTTTTGTTTGGAACAGGTGTTTCATAAGGTACAAGAGCAGCCATTTCTATTATCTCCCCCTTTTACTGTCTGGTATATAGATCTGCATCAAAGGCAACAATGTGTTCAAAGGCTACCTAAAGGACCCGGAGAAGACACAGGAAGTACTAGACAAGGATGGCTGGCTTCACACTGGGGACATTGGCCGCTGGCTTCCGGTGGGTATTTCTCCTTAACTTGTAAGGGTCTTTGCTATGGGACTGGGGAGAATAATCTACTTCTTACAAGAGGGATTAGGGATATGAGCTTAATCAGCTGAGGCAGCTGCAGGGAAAAGAGTCTGCAGATTCCTTGTGTGGTGTTTTCTCTAAGTATGAAGAGAGAAGCGTACCAGTCAGAAGACCCTAGCTTAGGAGTTGCAAGATCTGTGTTCTAGTCCTAGCTCTCTTATGGATTGATGGTGTGAAATACTGAAGAAGTTGGCCAAAACGAGATCAGGAGCTGCCAAAGCTAGTCCTCCCTCTAGGATGGGGCACTAACAATTTTGACCACAACCTTACAAAGACAGCAGAAAGTAAGACAACTGAAAGGCTTTCTTCCTTCAGTATTTCTTGTCAAATACAAGGTGCACCATAGGTAGTTCCATTGATGCTGTCTAGACACAGCAAAGAAGTGTTTCTTTCTAATTAACTCATGGAGACATATTAAAACAAAGAGAATTCTAAATCATGTGTTTACATAGGCTAATATCTGCCTCTCAGTGACCTTCACAGTCCCTCTCTGTGGAAGACACAGAGTTTTATAGATTGGTTTGCTGATGAACAATTGGCAGTAGTTGCTGAAAATCTCATCTGTTTTCTTGAAAGGGAACAGAGCATAGTTGTAATGAAGATGTGTAAGCCCTACAGGGGAATTTTCCAAGAGTCTCCTTCAAAAGGTTTCCCTACCTAATATGTGTTAGGGGAGTGTAACTATTTTCTTGTTCATTGTTCAAGATTTAAGAGATTAAGAATACTTGACCATGAGACTCCCATGATATACTTTCGATTGGGTTTAACAGTTTCTGTTTAATCAGTGTCCCCTGCTCTAAACCCAGGAGGCAGGCAAAAGATATGCTCCCCTCAGCCCCCATGAGTGATAGTAGGCTGGTGGTTATTGACCACTTTTAGTCTAAATTAAGTCTGGTTCATTGACGGTTCCAGGGTTCATTCAGTATAGAGCCCTACTTACGGCGTGCTCAAGCGGACTATGTCATTGATGGTTCCAGGGTTCATTCACTATAGAGCCCTATTTATGGCGTGTTCAAGTGGACTATTTTTACCCCATGCCCCAATTCTACAATTCAAATCCCTAAGAAGATAAGCGCCTCAGGAATTGACTTCAGGGAAACGAAGCAGCATATGACCTATGACGGTGGTCAGTGCCCTGGCAGCCCTGCTTCTGTCCTAACAAGCCCAATTACAGGCTGGCTTGATCAGTAGCATGCAGCTGTTTTAGCCTGCTCCCAGATTTAACAGGAAGTAACATGGAAGGGGGAGCTAAATCATTCAGCACTTTAAGGAAGAGATAACCCCTCCATTTCTCAAAGAGTTCTCAAGAAGTGGTAGTTGGAAATGAGTTATTAGAAACTGGGGGCTGTAGAATGTCTTCACTGAATGAGGCATCTATTTGCATAACCCAGCAGGCCCCTGGGGCTTTCCCAGAGGCTTGCTGTTTGGCTTTCTGCAGATGGGCTTTGTGGAAGTCACTTCTTCTTTCTCCAAGCCAAGAGAAACACAGAAATCTCCAGAGAACCTATTAAATAAGGACAACACTCATGGCCTTCTTACTGATACAATCATCAAGGGTTCAAAACACTGATGCTTTTATCTGCCTCATACAGAATGGAACTCTGAAAATCATCGACCGGAAGAAGAATATTTTCAAGTTGGCACAAGGAGAATACATTGCTCCAGAGAAGATTGAAAATGTTTATGCCAGGAGCAGACCAGTATTGCAAGTTTTTGTCCATGGGGAGAGCTTACGGGTAATACACCAGTTTTAGGGCCTGTGCTGGTTCTCACAGCCATAAAAGACATTTGTATAAGTGGGTTCAGATAAGATGCCCCAGCTTACAAAACTACATTCTGAACTATAAACATCCAGGAAATAATTCGTTGGAATTAAAATATCTATTTTAAGAGGTAGCTTTATCTCACATAACTTTCTACGTGGGACTCTCAGTGCCCATTGAGTAGCTCCTCTGACACATATAAACTGTTCTTTATATGCTGCCCCTAAACTGGTCCCTTGGAGCTTGGGTAAGGCAAATTTCAATATGGATTGGCCAGGGATTTGATTCTTTAAGCTTAATGACAACTGCTTCTTTTTGAGGAATCAGGCTTGGATAGAACATCTTTGCAGTGGGGTGCAGAGTGGGGCACACTGTATGCTGAGGAACTGTATCAGATTCGTCTCAAGGTCTCATCTATTACAACCCACTTCCTTCCCACAGTCATTCCTGATAGGAGTGGTGGTTCCTGATCCAGATTCACTACCCTCATTTGCAGCCAAGCTCGGGGTAAAGGGATCCTTTGAAGAACTGTGCCAAAACCAAGTAAGCATGGCTCAAAATGTTCTCCAAGTAAGCGTGACTGAGAACGTTCTCCAAGTAGACATGATAGAATGTTCTCTGAGTAAGCATCACTGAGAACGCTCTCCGAGTAAGCATGGCTGACAGAGAATGTTGCATGTGTATCCTGGCCTGCTGCAGCAGAGGGAAGGCTCTCCCAGCTGTGGCACCTCTGGGTTCTCTGAGCCTCCTCTCTGCAGGGACACTCTTCCTGCTTCTGTGACAGGTAATTGCACTTGACAGTTTAATAGAATGAAAGACAGAATGTAGAGTTTAAAACACAGAATGATTTTTTAAAAAGCAGTAACATGCTGCTTGTGAGAACAAATGGAGAACACGGATGGAGAATGTCTTTAGAAGCTGTTAGCCCCTAGGTTTGCCTTTCCTTTTCCTTGTTTCCTTTGGGAAATGCAAGGTACATATGCTTTTCAACATACTTTTTGAGATTTTTATCCAACTCTTTCAGGCATTTTGAGTTGGTTCATGCTTAGCTTTTCCTTTAAACCTTTCTTCAGGCATACATACTGTGATGTTTTGTGTTTCAGCGTGTAAAGGAAGCCATTTTAGAAGACTTGCAGAAAATTGGGAAAGAAAGTGGCTTGAAATCCTTTGAGCAGGTATGTACTGCTGATATAATTCTGGTCCCCCAAGTACCACTAGGGTTTTATGTAAAGCTCCACTTACACTGGTTTCAAACCTTTAACTTCCAAGGGCACAGCTAATATTTACGTATTCTGTCTACCTCTGCCGTTTATTACTCATTCTCTGTACTCCACTCACATAAACATCAAGTATAGTTCAGTTGGTAGAGTGCTTGCCTAGCATATATGGCTTCAGTCAATCTTCAGGGCCACATTACCCGATGTGGTGATGTGGTAGGACATACTTGTAATCTCAGTGATGAGTGGGAAGGGGAAGATCAGAAGTTCAAGATTGACCTTAGCTATATGGCAAGTTGGAGATCAGCCTGACCAACAGAAAATCTTATCTGAGAATGCACATGAGTCTGTCTTTACTGTCCCACATACAGCTTCTTTCCTAAGGTGAAATAAACTGTGCAGCTTGTCACTTTGCAGATGAAATGCCAACCATCAACATGTGCTCACCTTCTAGGTTAAAAGTATCTTTGTGCACCCAGAGCCGTTCTCTATTGAAAATGGACTTCTGACACCGACACTGAAAGCCAAACGAGTGGAGCTTGCCAAGTTCTTCCAGACGCAAATCAAGAGCCTCTATGAGAGCATTGAGTAGTAGTAGTTTAAGGTACTTACTGCTGAGGGTTCTGAGACCCGCTACCTCGCAGAAGTACGGCCTAAAATCAATCCTGTTTTGTCTTTTCATCATACCTGCTGTTTACCTATTATACTTGTGAACTGTAGGATACTTAGAATGTGAGACCCTTGCCCAGAATAAAAGACCGTCCTCCCAGCTTAGACTTCTTGGACATTTTAGATCTGAGTGCTGCTTTATCATCATGCTGGTCTTCAGGTCTGTGTTCTGTGTCATTTCCTCACGACTGCCATGCCAATGCTATCTTGATTAGTGATCCCCAGTTCTAGGGTCACAGGGATCTTTTAGGTGTACCCTGTTTTATAAAAACCCTGTTTGCTGGCAGCTCAGCACTTCCTGAGTCCTCCAATACAGTGATTATTAACCTTCCTAAAGCTGTGACCCTATAACATAGCTCCTCACACTGTGGTGACCCCCCAACCATAAAATTATTTCATTGCTACTTTATAACTGTAATTTTACTACTGTTATGAACTATAATGTAAAAATATTTGAGATGTAAGATAACTGATATGTGACTCCAAAGGGTCATGACCCACAGGGTGAGAACCATTGGCTTAACAGATTAAGAGATTTTTAAGTTATAATTCATGTTTTTCAGTTACTACATGAAACTACTAATTAGAATTTTAACCTACTACCCACTCTAATTGTATTTATGAGACAAACGTCTATGTACATAAGTGTACATCAAAGTTTACTCAATGAAGGAACAAAGCCAAGTTTGACAAAGCTTCAGTTCTCTGGTTAGACTTCTGACTTGGGACTATTAAACCATAGCAGATAGGGTCAGAAGAGAATGCTGTTTTAGTGTTATCTGCAGTGGCAGTTTTTGACATTGACTGTTCTCTACAGTTTGCTGAGCTGGAAGGTGTGGGGGAAGAAGCGGAAACTATGTCCAGCGAACTTTTCCAGTAAATGAAGCAAGCACTAAAGCACTGTCCTGAGTTGGGAACAAAGCAATGTGGGCAAGCTCGATGCGACGCCTGCACTGCAGGCCTGTCTTCTGTGATGGGAGCTCTGGATCTTTCTCCTTGGACTTCAGTCCCTGCAGTATTTTACTGCCAGATAGCATGTGGTGCCTCTACTTGTAAATGTCAAATCTTTGAAATAAACTATTACAGATATTATGTTGTGCCTGCAGTCTTGTGAAGTATGATGGGAATTAGTATAAAAACGAATCATGTGAAAACTCAGCTGCATTTTAAATTTTGGCTGTACACTAGAATTATTTGATTTGAAAATGATGATGAGGCGCTTCTCTGGGGTGCCTGAATTACACAGTCTCGTAGCCAGGTGTGGTGATACATACCCACAACCACAACATTCAGGAGGCCAGGGCAAGAGCACAGCAGGTTTGAGGCTGGGTTACACAATGAGGACTTGTATCAAAATTAAACAACCATTGGCCAGGATTGTTACAAAATTGGGGAACTACTGGGGTAAACTGATAGGAGCAGCTATTCTTACCCTATCCACAGTTCTGAGTACTAAGCCTGTAAGCCAGGACCACATTCTAAATAAGTTTACTTTTTTTCCTTCACCACCTTTGCTGTATGTTAATCTCTTTCTCCTTTTTTTCTTTTGAGATAGGGTCTTACTATAAACCTGACTGGCATGGAGCTTTCTATGTTGACCATGCTGGCCCTACAACTTAAGATACCCACCAACCTCTGCCTCTGGAGTGATGAGATTAAAGGTGTTTGCCACCAGGCTGGGCTGTGGTACTATAATTTTAACTTGTATTCCTTTCTGGCTGCTAACTGGATCAAGAATAGTCATTGTTTTCCCACACCCTGAGCTCACCAAGGCTAAAAACAATGTCTGTACCAGAAACAAAGGAAAGGCAGGACTAAAGCTCTAGGGTACATGGTGGTTTAATGTGTTCTCATCTCTGATTTCCCTTTCCATATGGCCCTGACTCCAGCAGACCTGAATGGCTACCTCTCTGATTTTGAAACATGCCAGGCTGTACCACAGTGTGGATGCTTGCCGTTTCTGTCTAAAATATAGACACTTCCCACAGGCGCATGACTTGTCTTATCTGCTTTGTCAACTCAAGAGCATCTGGCCTTCGGAAACAACTCTATCTGACTCGTGTTCACCTGTGGCTCTTGCAACAGGGTAACAACCATGCCTGCTTCTTGCTGAGCACCCAGGTGCCTACTTCTTAGTCATTCCTACTGTAGGCTTGGCTGCCCCAGAGGCCTTAATTACCTGAATGCAAGAATTAAGGAATGCTCACTCAGCTTACTCAAGTCCAGTGAGGGAGACTTTCTCCTGAAGTTCTGCTAACCTGTTTCAAAAAGCTCACCTGTGAACTTAGATCCTAGAACTTGCACAAGCTTCAGGTTTTGCTATTAAAGTAGACAGCAGCAGGCACTAGTGATGTGCATGAGATGTAAACCTGTAAAGTCAATCTAGCAGTAACAGGCTCATACACTGACCTGAATGTCTTAAAGGTCATGATTCAAGACAAGACTACACTCGGCAGCAGGACAGTGTTTTCAGAAGGACATCAGAGAAACCGTTTTACTCAGAAAACAAATCACCACCACCACCACTACCAAACCAAAAGCAAACTAAAAAAAAAAAAAAAAGCTTTTTGGTGAAAACTGTAATTTTTACAGAACATCCATTGACCTTTATTGGATCTGACAAAATCTGCATTATTAAAAGTAACCAAATTTGAGTTTATATTGAATCTGACAAGTTTTACAGTCTCTAGAATATTATGAAGGAAATGTCAACTGAGGAAGAAACAGAATAACCACATGCAAAGATGTTCCTGTCCAGTGGGGAATTAGACCTCAGGTGAAGTCAGATGTGCAGCACGCAGAAAAGGCAATTTTCTTTCTTGGCTGGAATGGTCTTCCTTCAGTAGTAAGAGGAAAGACGGCAGGAATTCAGAGGCATATGCAGAATGGCTTCTGTTTCAAATGGTAATAAAAGTTTTCGAAGTCATGGCACTAGGGCATCTTGAAGAAAAGAGTACCATAAGCAGGATAGGCTCGTTGCATAATTCTCAGGGACTACGTGTGGGTTTCAAGTAATGAAGACTTAATGAGCTCACTTTAACAGTGGCTATCTGTTCTTCTTCTCGCCCTCTGGGGCTGGATCTGATTCACCATCACAGGGACACTTTTCCACACAGTTCCTAGGAAACCACCCTCTTACTCTTGAAGTACCTGAGGAAGAAAGTGATGCTACAGTGAAGCAGGCGGAGGATCAGGTGACATTACTGGGACAAGTTCTACTGCTTCAAGTGAAGATAAGTTGTTAAGACTTTCAGCTGTCCCCTCAGTAGCCCTCAGACATAGGCCAGGGAAAGGTTTCCAAATGGTTTTACCAAGCTAGGAAATAGGAAATATCTAGCTCCTATCCCATCAACTGGGAACGGTGCTAGAGTGGTCTAGACAGTGCCTAAGTGGATCTGCGGTTACTCAACACACGGTGATTGTTCTGGTGTACCATTCCAGTACAGTCCCAGGATGACGTTCCTACAGCCTCTCTGCATTTCTTTTTAAAGTGTTTTCTTTTTTTTTTTTTTAATCTTTTTTTTTTTGAAGATAGTTTTCCTATGTAGTTCAGGTTCTGTTATGAATCTATGATGATCTCCTAAATACTGGGATTACAGCCATCTGCTCCCAGGCTATGAACTTCTATACCAAAATCACCTAATCGTCATATGAGGTAAACTTATGATTAATCCCAAGTATTTTCTTTCCTTAAGAACATCCCAGGTTGATCTTTAAATTTCAACCTTAGCTTTAAAAGAAATGTTCCCTTAAAGGGGATGAGAATATGAAACGGTGGGGGAGGGGTGGTGTGGGTTTGGAGGGGGAGGGGAGCTGGAGCCTGATTCCGCAGGTCCCAGTCAATCTTTCCCTATCTGCCGCTTGGGCTGTGAGCAAGCTGTTTTTGCTTAGCAGTTCCGTGCTTTAGTTTTCACTGATAATCATCAAACAGTTCCTAAGACATCTATCAGAATTTATTTGATTAATTTTAAAAATCCTTTAAAAATCAGTATACAGAGTAATGAGTTTTCTAATAACAATGGTTCTTCCATCCGGGCCGCATCTTCCTCCTAATCCCCTTCCTAATAATCCGTTTGTTTGCAGGTCCTATGTCTGTATCCAATTACCTCTTTTAAAACGGTTTTACCCTTTCTAGTTTAAATGTACCCAAACCATTGTCTAGAATCTACATATGAAAACAGGTTGTAGTATACGTTTGAGCCTCATGAATTTCAGTTGTATCCATTGTCTTGGAAATGGCATTTAATATTTCTTTATAGATGAATAAAATTCCACTGTGTGTATGTACTATATTTTCTCTACCCATTCATCTGCTGGTGGATATCTAGTCTGTTTTTTTCCTTAGCTACTGTGAATATTTCAGCAATAAATCATTGTGTGCAAATGTCTATGTGATAAAACCAAAGAGTCATTTAAATGTATACTCTGGATTGGCACAACCTGAGTAATATGGGAAGTTCTATTTTTAGTTTTTTGAGAAACCTCCACACTGTTTCCGGGTGGCTGTAGCAGTCTACTCTCAACAGCCGTGACCAAGAGTTCCTGGTCTCCACCACATTTCTTGTCATTTGTTCTCCTTGCTGGCAGCTATTTACTTTCTGTGTTTGAATTATGACATTCCAAGTACTCCTGGCTTTTATGGTTACTGACAAGAGTCTGAAGTTATTCTGACAGGTCTGCCTTTGCCTTTTCCCCACAGCCTTTTCCTTTGCTTTGTATTTTTGACATCTTGACTGAGTTCTTCTCTGGCCAAGACTATTTGGGGTTCTACATGCATCTTGTGTTTAGGTGTCCATTTTTTCCTCTGTTTGTGAAACTAATTTCATCGACTAAACTGCCTATGAAATTAGGCTATCTCCTAATTTTGTTGTTTTTTTAGGTTTAGTTTCTTGAATGCATTCCAGAGGTTTTGGAAGTTTTTGTCTTGCTGTTTCGTTTTTGTGTTTGAGTATATCACTGTCTCAAGCCATTTGTCCATAACCGTGTTCTGCCTGGTTATGCTAATACTGCTTTCTTTCTTTCCACTGCTTGTTTTTGATTGGCTCTTTCACTTGCAGCATTTCTGTTTCTTTGACAGTGTCTTAATTACTTACTGATTTTTTCCCCCTGCATTTAATACTTCTGTACTTTTAAATTTCTTGCCAAATGACTGACATCTCTTTAGTAGCGTTCTCATCTAGGCTCTGAACTGGTTTCCTGACAGCCTTCACCTGCTCTCCAGTCTTTACGTAGTCAGTGATCCTTTTAGGACACAGGACTCTGAAGGCGTTCCCCACCATGTTAGCTATCTCCATAGCTTTGGTTTCTGGGATTGAGAAGCTGTGATCTTGGGTAGTGTACTCGAGCTGTGGTCTGAGGTTTGTACATCTTTGTGCTCTGTGTGTCTCTTGGGATGGACATATCCTCTGCTTCCTTCTCCTTAGCTTCGTTTGCTATGGGTTTTCCTGGTTAGTGTCTTCACTTCAGTGACATGTAAAGACAGCAATGCTGTGCTCGTCTGCACTGGGAAGGCACATACAGACTTCATCTGTGCCTCTCGCGGGGCCTGAGTCAGCAGCACTGGGTTCTGAATGGGAAAAATGTAACTTGCTGTTTTTAGATTAAGAGCATCAGTAAGTAGGCAAACAAAAAAGGAAGGAAGGAAGAGGATGAGTAAAGCAGGAATGGAAATGTTTGCTTTGGAGGTAAGAGAAGCAAGACACCGAGGAGGAAGGAAGCATCAGGCAAGATCCAGCTGACAGACACAGCCCAACAATGAAGCACAGAAGCGCAGAGATCAAACTGAACAAGAAAACAGTGAAAAAGGGTGAAAACAAGGCATTACAGCTTTGGCCAGTGGTTCTTCCTAGCTGTCTTTTGTAGCAGTCTGAAAGTAGGGCTTCTAGTCTCAAATTTCAAACAACTTCAGTGATGTTTCCTGATGAGAGGCCTTTCTGTGGGGAAGCTCACTTCCTGTTGGATTCCCATCTTAGACCACTCCCCTGTGCTCAGGTACAACTCTGGTTTTTGGAAATGGTTTTTTGCAGTGCAAGGCTTTCTGTGATGAGGTTCTAAGAAAGCATGGATTTCTTTTCTCTACAGACATGTCTGCC